TCAGGGGACAGACAGGAAGTCTCAGGGGACAGGAAGTCTCATGGGACAGACAGGAAGTTTCATGGGAAAGGAAGTCTCAGGGGACAGACAGGAAGTCTCAGGGACAGGAGGTCCAAAGGTCTGTCCGGCTGAATCAGAAGACGTCGGTGGTGGAGGTGTCAGTGTCTGCTGCAGCACCGGGGGGCTCCCTCCCCTCCTGGYCCTCCTGCTCCTCCTGTGGTCTGATGGGAGGTTGCTCCTCCTCCTCTGGACGCCCTGCTTGTCAAACAAACAGTTTGTGTTTATTTACAACAATCTGGATGTTTTCATAAATAACAACTAGTTTTATTTTAAATCAAACGTGGGATGTGGGACGTCCAGAACCCTTCACCCTGTAGAAGTCTAACCTGAGGAGGACCTCAGGGATGAGTGTCTGGTCTCCTGTTCTTCATGAACATGATGTCTCCACCACATCATCTGGTTAGTGTTATTAAACCTGCAGGTGAACTGGCTCCAGTCCTGCAGGTTTTAATGGTTTATTTGGTCTAAATGAGATGTGAACCTCAGGCAGACTGGGTTCTCCTCCAGGACCASTACTCAGTCCTGTCTTTCTGACGGAGTCTGTATTGATTTTAAAATCTCTCTGCTCACCTTAAAGCCTTAATTGGCTTTTTACCCAGAACTCATCTGATCCTTATTGACCCGGTACATTCCCTCTGGACCTCTAGACTTGCAGTTTGGATTAGAGTCCAGTTTTTGTGAAAACAGGACTCAGCAGGTCTACTGAACACGTTGGTCTTTATGGAGACTTCAGCAAATGTTATTAAATCACCAGATAAAAATCTATTTTTTCWTCTGGACTCAGCTGTTCCTCAGCTCAGGGTTAGCAGAGGAGGAGAACGTTCTGATGTTCCAGATCTTTCTACTCTGATGGATGGACCATCCAACGTTCAGATCCTGCAGCTGAGGACAGGAGAAAGATGCTTTCACACATTTCCTGTCTGAGTCTGGGCGACGTTCTGAAAGGCTGCAGGATCTGTGTGTGTGATGTGCACGCTGAAGGAGGTCTCACACACACACACACACACACACACACACACACACACACACACACAC